TAACTCAGCAGGACCCTGCGGGCCCTTGCTGGGACAGACAGCTCCCCCATATCTTCTGCCTTAGTCCCTCACTGAAGTACCTAGTTGATTTTGTCTTTCCTGAGTTTTTCAGATGCCAAAACCACCACCAAAAGGAAGAAATTAGCTATTTGATGATCATAAGCACGTGGCCCCCAGACCTTCCGGTGCCTAAGGATTGATCATCAAGGTGTCCACAGCTGATCACATACTCTGGGACCCCACCCCCTCCCTGGCCTTTAAAAAGGCTCAGCTGCAACCCTTCCGAGAGTTTGGAGTTTTGGCAACACGAGCCGTGCATTCTCCTTTCTCGGCCCAACAGTAAACCTTTCTCTGCTCCAAACTCCGCATTTGGGTATTGCTTGGCTTCTCTGTGCATTGGGCACATGACCTTGCTGTTTGGTAACATTTTTACTGCCAACTTCGGACCTAAAGCAAATGTGTGTACAGCTCCCTGCCCTCCTGGGCTGGGAGAGAGCCTCAGAGAAAGGCCTTATTCTGAGAAAAGCCGGGGGCCAGTCCCCCTGGACGTTTTCTGCCGAGCTCTGGACCCTACTGTAAGTGTGTTTGAAGGCTTTGGATTCCTAAGCGCGAAGGTGAACAGTCATTGTCACCGGCTTCCGGGTGAGGATTTGGGGTATGATTCAGAGTTTCTGATCCTCCGTCTCTAGGGGAAGTCCCTTATAAGAAAGCTCACTTTTGCTGTAAGCATACTTTGAATGCATTTCTAGTGACTGAAACAACTTGCTGGTCCTCAGGCCTGTGGTCCCAGGTGCCAAAAGGAACTGGGGAATGACTCAGTTCACACATACTATTTTGGTTGTGGGGGTCAGTTACCTCGGAGAGCTGCTAGCCTGTCCTGTTGTGTGATCAGTGGAGAGCAAAACCACGAGGAAACACGGCATGCAAGTGTAGACCTTGAGGCCTGTGTTCTTGCAGATCCACGCTTGTTTTACAGGGGTTGACTGGACCCAGGTGCAAACACTCAGACCTCTTCCTAATCTCTAATGGCCTCTCCCAGGATCCCCATAGTCTGAATTTTCATTTCCTGCTGTAGAGAAGATAATATTTACCCAAAAAAATCTTGGATAGAGCTTCCAAGAACGATTTTGGTAGTGTGATGAGGTTTTATCCACAGAAAGGCTTGTTTATTGAATAATAACTGGACCGTAAGTAAAGTAACTCAAGCTTGTAGAGGCTGCTCTGACTTGTTTGTGATGCTTGTTTCATGTGGAGAGACCTTGAATAGCTTCTTTGTTCGGTGGCAACAGCATTAAGACGTGGTATTCTGTGTTAAATAGATGAATGTTCAGATCGACGCTGTAAGAATTGAAACATGTGAATGGCCATCCCGGTCTATGATCTAAGAGTCACTTGTAACAGTTCTGTGGCCTCTGATATACAGGGGGACCTGTTTTCTTCAGATCGGCCAGTTGTTTCCACGGCAGTAATTCAGGCTTGGTTTGGTTAGCTTGCACGGTTCTGCAGTGCCGCGCAGATCCTCAGGTCTGCACCTGCGCGTCTGTTTCCATTGATCAGACAGCGTGACTGGCCAGCAGCACTCGGAGATAGCTGTAGCTCTCACAGCCGAAATATTTATTCAGCAGTCAGGAGGCAGCAACTGCTCCTGAGCGTCAGTAGTCTGAAAAAGTCAGCGCCGCATACGTTATTTTTATCCGACTCTCGCTTTTTATCTGACTGCCCAGAGTCTTTAATGTTCTGCCCCACAGCTTTGCAAACTTGGATTGACGGGCACACATACCAGGACGGTGTCCACAGAATAGCCATTTGAATGGCAGGAGTCTGTCTCACAATCAAGCAGTCTCTTTCTAAATCTTAGGTTTTTTTCTGAAAGACAAGAGTATTTTAAACCAACTTTATTGTGCCCCAAACTTACCATTGCTGCACAGATTTTTTTCCCCCTAGCTTATCTCTTTGTGGCAGTAAATACCGTGTAGCAAAATGATGGATAAAGGTCACTGACTCCAGCACACCCCAAAGAACTGTTACTTTCCTTGGAAATGTTTCAGAGGTCACCTGTGGAAAGCCTCACCTCTTCCGAGCTGTGAGTGCATGGGTCCCTCTCGTGCTGCTTTAGAGATTTTAGATTTCTCCTGCTACCAAGTGATGACCCAGAAAGGAAACACTTGAAGTTAGCATTTATTTCTCTTTGTTGATGCTGATACGTTTAGAGTAAGAGATGTTTCTACAAAAAGAGAAGCAGAGAGACTGTTAGGAGATTCTTAGGTTGGTGACTTAGACCAAGACATGGAGAAAACGGATGGACTTCAGTTGCTTGTAGGAGGTTGAATTGACAGGTCTTGGTGTGGTGGACTGCATGCAGGACGTAATAGAGGAAGAAACCCAGCTCGAGTTGTCAGATAAAATACAGGATGCCCAGTTGAACTTGAATTTCAGATGAACCAATGAGTAATCTTTTAGTGTAAGTACGTCCCATGCAATATTTGGTACATACTTATACTAAAAATTTTTTGTAGTTTTATTTGAAATTCACATTAACCAGTCATCCTGTATTTTTACTTGCTAACCATGGCAGCCCTACTCTCAGGGTTCTGGTTTGAACAGCTCTAAGTGATGCCATTTATTGGTGATGCTATAAAGAAATGCTTTGGTGATTTTCAGTATTAGAAAACACAGAGATACTTGGCCATTCAAACTAAGTACACCAGTATCCTGGATAGGATTTAGATGGAAGAAGCCATATTGATCTTAATGGTGTTCTAAAACGTCCTCTGCAGGTGTTATAGTGAAGATAAGTGCAAACAAATTTAAAACATACCTTCCTCTGAAATTGCTGGGATTGGCAAGTGTGTACTGTGGTTTAGCCGGGGGCGGGGAGGGGGGAGGGTTCTACAGACTGCTGCTGTTCGAGGTGTTTCTGTTCTGAGATGTAGGAGTAAGCTAATTGTTAAACACGTTTTATCTTCACAGCTGGAAGTGCTGTGGCGGGACTTCAGCTACTGTCCTCTTGGGTGATAGAGATTTAGACAGCGAGGCCCGTCCCTCCCGGGAGAGAGTCCAGGTTTCTCCCCACAGTGTCATGGAACAAATTATTTAGCTGTGGCTTGTAAGCTGTCATCCCA